TCTGCAACTACTCTAAAGACACATAAAAACACAATCAATCAAAAAAGTGCTTCCCTGAGAAATCCCATTGCATATTCATTTCAGCGTCTTTTAAAAATACAGTGGAGAGCAACCACACTGCATTCAAATATTTTGAGAGAGAACCATTCAGGCATTCTCTCAGCTTCTGCTACTAAAAAGAAGAGTTTCAGTTATGCAGAACCCATAAAGTGAAATTTGGTTTTATTATTAAATAAAATCTCATTAGTGTTCAGGACACAGAAGATCTCACAGCCCTTGGCTAAACACTCATATTTCTTTGAATATGAAAATGTATTTCTTCTGAGGGCTATGAAAAATTTAATGTGTAAGAAAAATTAGCATAGTTGAGACTTCTAAAAAGGAATACTGTTGAGAGTGACAGCGAAGGGCCAACACTTCACTAAGCAACAGCAAGACCAGCAGACAATGCTTGGAAACACTGACTGCAGCCCTAAAAAACAAACATCACAAGAATCAGGTTTGGCATCCTTAATGTACAATAAGAACATTAAGACTTTCGGTACAAAATTCTCTATGCCTAGGAAAACCTTAAAAGGATGGGATTTCTCATGATAGATTACTCAGGCAAGCTAAGAAGGATTTGTGCGCCTGATCTGTGATTACATAAGTCACATAGAATCATGGAATATCCTGAGTTGGAAAGGACCCATCAGGATCTTCAATATCACAGTGTTTGCATGAGAGTATTGTCCAAACACTTTCTGAACTCTGTCAGGGTTGGTGCTGTGGCATGCAAAACTGCACATGGGGCTTGAGGCGAGGCCACACGAGCACAGAGTAGAGCAGAGCAATCACCTCCCTCAACTGGCTCACAACGCTGTGCTCGATGCATCCCAGGATACGGTTACCAGCAATTAATCTACAAATTTTAGATAAAAGGAGACCTGGTCCTAAAATGAAGCTGTACAAATATACCAAACCCAAAGATTTTAAAGGTCTCAACTCTACTGGTATCAGGAACAAACTCAAATTCCTTGATTCAAGAACAAAAGGCTAAAAAACGGATTCTGTAGTTTACAAGGACTTAAGAGTTTGAAACACGATAGATCACAAAATTTATATTCACTGTTCAGACTAGATGATTGCAATCACTCCCCAAAGCCTCATTAAAATCACATTTAGAATGCTATTCAAAACGTGAATCAGATTCAGTTTTGTTTGTTTGAACAAAACTGGTATGAATGGCAGAATATTTAATAATGTGGAGAAGATAAGAATTAATTATAGTTGGTACATTCAATAGTTTGAATAAGTAGCATTTCTCTTTCAACAATAGAAAATAATACTGCCAACACTTTCCCTAGCATTAGCATGTTTGTTGTATTCCAGACTACAGAAAGTGGTACAAGGCAGGTGAAAAGGAAAACATGAAAACACTCTTCTTGCATGTTTTGAAATATTTTTTTTATACTAGTACAGAATTTCTACCCCCTAAACATTAACTCCATTACTTTTGCTCAATACAACCTAAAGGTTATAATGCTGCCTTCTGCTTTAGGTGACCAAACTCTTATTTTCACTGAATTGGTCCTGAAGCACAATGAACTGAGATGATAATCTTGTTTCAGACTTTAATCTACAATTAAGGGGGAGAAAAAAGTTTGTTTGTTTGTTTAAACTTAAAATTAGGGGGTGATTGTGGGCAAAGAACAGAGAATTAGCTAATATAGCTTGGCAAGAGCACCCACTGTGTGAAGATTTTCACACATGAGTGGGAAAGAAGCAGGACAAAGACCACTCAGAAATGGAAAAAATATTTGAGCATTTGAGAGAGAGAAAAAAAACATAGGAGATATTAAAGGGACGCAACAGAAACATATTAAGGACACAGGAAAGCTGTTAAGTCAGCCTTAAAATAGAATTTCTCTAGGGATTTTTATAGTACACATATTTTGATGTCTTAAAAAGGAAAGAAAAAAATCAATCATAACACATCTTGCTGAAGTGTTTTTTAAAAAAATCACAGGAAAAACACAAGAATATTATAAAAAAATTGAAAACCTGAATTTCTCAGAGATCAATCATTTGTTTAGTTCTACCTGTCCCCCTGCTAGAAGGTGTTATTTGCAAATTCCGAGCTCAGTTTGCTAAGAGACTCAGAAGGAGAAAATTTATTTGGATTAAAAAGAGCAAGTTTGGGTTATCTGCTATCTTTTCATACTTCCCATAAAACCAAACACTTGGAAGGAGTACTTGAAATTTCCTTGGTCTGACTTCGGACCAAGATATTTTTGAAGTTATTTCAGATAAGTGTTGAAACTACTGTAGTTGTTCTTTTGATTTAATAAGTTTTGATTCAAATTACAGGATTCACCAGTTTTTTGTTGTATTTGAAACTCCATTTTGTGAATTTTCTCTACTGATGGCAATAAAACCATTCTATTTGGTTCTATAAAATGTATCATAGACACTGTTTTCAGGAAGTTAGTCTTTAGCAGATGATCCCCTGTGCAAATGGTATACACTGAGACAGAGGATCAAAGACTCAAAGTCTAGAGTAATACCATCTCCCACAAATGTGCAGAAAACAGTTAAAAGCCTCTAAGTAGTCTGAAGTTCCACCAAGCCAAAGCACTTTATAACGTTCAGAAGCTGAACAAACTAGATCTTGCCTGCTATACCTCACCTGATTTATCTACTCTAATGCTACTGAAATAAGAGCATCCTTTCCTGGCACAGAAATTACATAATTTTCCAATTACTTTCTCTGAAAGCAACTTTATGAGTGTCGTGTTTTAACCCCAGCCTCTAACATGGTCCCTTCACAAGGGTGACATGCAAATTTATGAAGCAAATTAACCTTACCCCAGCCAAAACCAGCACAATGAGGTATGACCTACTTCACATTTCATGTACTTCTGAAGTGAGGACACATTTCCAAAAGTGAAGTGCAATTTGAGACTGGTCATATTTAACACACAACAGCCAAGAGAAGGGTTTGTTTCTGACAGCAGGTCAGAAAGCATTGTCAGACTTCTGTGTCTCTTGGAAGTTCAAGAAATACACTTGCTTCAAGGTGTAACCATCAGAAGTACAGAGCCCAGCTTTGTCTCCTTGATCAGCATATTAATTAGTAAGCAATTTTAGCACAAGACAAGAACATTTTTTTCTTTGCATTTAAATGGTAAGCAATATAGTCAATTAACCAACGGACTACTTGTGTTATGAGTGTCTAACGTAAAGAAAGTTAGAAGCACATGGTAGAAGTCAGTTTATGCAGAGCACTACTAAAACACCATACAATATTTCACTGAAGACCACAGGAATCTAGCTGAATTGAAACAAGGAAACAATGCCAATACCTAAGGATACAAGCTTCCCAAGTGAGACACTTAGGTGAAAGTCACAAAAGAATTTGTGCTGGGAGAAGGAGGGCAGACAAAGGCTGGTTTAGCACTGACTCATTCCTAATATGTCACTTCTGACAACACACCACTCACATTGCTTCTGGGGACATGCGTGGAAATGTCATTGACTGTGCAAAAGCAGTGGGTGAGGAACAAGTTGCCAAAAGATCAATTTACAAAAACACAAAGGGATGATAAACCTGACAGCTTCCTTTTATATTTAGTAATTGTCCTCTGCAGTTTTGCTAACACAGGAGGATGTTTAATGAACATATTCATTATACCAGCAATGTAATTTACCACAGATTTGATGCTGTAAAGCTGTAGGTTAGAACTCAAACTTCTTGGAAGCACTTTTTCCATAAGTAATTTCAAGTAACTTGGCAAAGCAGAAAGCAAAAAAAGTATATAAAACATACAGCTTGTAATAAAATCATTTCTTTTGACTTAATTCTGTGCAAACAATACTAATACATACAAATTAGGAGCAGCATTTTTTCCTCAAAACAATACAATTAGACAATTAATGCTTAACATTAAATTAGAAACTCTAGCTCTAACAAAACGTTAGTTTCTTCATGTGAATTACTTTTTTTTAAACTCCTACTATGCAAACAGTTCTGCCTTGGTCCTTGAAAATTTTTAAACTAATCACACAACAAAATTTTATAAATTAAGGAGTAGGTACCTTAACATGAAATGTTTCGTAACGAAGAGAATTATATCTGAAAGAAAATACAAATACAGTCATGGAGATAATTTGTTTTGTCTCACTCCTGTATCTTTCCCCCACACGATAGCTGCATAACATCTAATTAAAAGAGGGGAAAAATGCCAGGTAAAAAGACAATTCAAATCAGTCTTCTCTTCGGAGCTCAGAATGACTCTAGAGGACTGGAACTTGGAGCCTAGAAAGGTAAAAGTGCCCTTTTCCCTGTTACAGATAGGAAGCTTTACTCTTCAGATATAAAGGAGGCAAAAATTAAAGAATATAAAAGGAAGTTATGTTTGCTAAGAACTGTATGACCATTTTTAGCTCAGTGATTATTTTCCAGGATAATCTTTATCCTATTCCTCTGTGTTATATTAGTGTTATTAGGGAACAATACCATCATCCAGCATCCCTAAGTTCTGCATGTGCATCATGCATGTTCTGTTCTTACATAATTTTATACTGCATAAATCAACTGTAGTATCAGCATCTGACAAGCTGTAGTGTCAAAACCTTTAGCCAAAAACTGTATGCAACTTGTTACTCCACACCCCAGACCAAAAATCTGCAGGTATTAACCAACTAAGAACATGAAAAACTATATGATTTTCTTTTTTTTTTTTTTCAGAAATCACTACCCAGGAAATTAATGAAAATCATTCTGTAATGAAAAGACGCCTTCTATAGTCTTAATATGTTACTAATAAGATAAGAAGTCGGTTTAAAATACAGAGCAAATGATATAGCAATGGTGATAAAGTTTCCATTTCCTATTTAATGAAATTATCATTTTTTGTTGACTGGGGTTCATGTTTGACCTTCCAGGAAAACAGGTTATTTAGAGACATACAAAGATTAAAAACTTAAAAACTAAATAGTCCAGGAGACAATTTACATACTTAGGATGTCGGATGTCTGGCAGTGATCGTTCCAGTGCTATATTGTTGCTAACAAATATGTTGAAGCCGTTTTCCCTATAAGCAGAATCATCGTGGTCTTCCTCTGTAAGAGGGTACGGCTTTCCATGTTCACCTTTCCCTATAACAAAACAAAACAATTATTTGCCTCAAATTTACAGCACAAAATGGACTACAAAAAGAAAAATAAGTTACACTGAACTTCAACTAAAATGCTGTGCCTGGAACATCTCAAAGAAACATCTTCCAGTATCTTTAGCAACACTCCTGTCACTTCCAACACAAAACCACAAAGTAGGGACAAATAATGAGACTAAGAAGTCCCTCTGAATTCACCCAATTCATCCAGTTCTCTCTTTCCAGATACACAATCAGTTTAAAGCCATTTTATACAGAAAAAAATTGAACTGTAGATTAAGCTAAGACCTTTTTGCATCAGAATCAAGTTTTCATAGCAAAATTATGAACAAATTCCAGTTCCAGAAATACTCCTTTTGATTAATATGAGGAACTGGGTTACGGAGTTCCTTTACATTTTAGTAGTCAGAACACCCCCACCACCCACTCATCTTTTCAGAAAGCAACTTCATTATTGAAGTTTAGGGTGTCTAACTTTCCAGAAGAAACAGTAAGGAAACTAAATGCTTTGCTCTAGGCTCCTTGAACATGCTTGCATTCCTAGGGACAAGCCAGATGTGCTCAGTACTTCTAACATCAGAGCACTGCTGATCTGGTTTCAGAAACTGGTCACTTTGTGCTTCCCCAAAGAAATCATCTGCTTGTTCCCTGGCAAACTACAGACTTTCTATTCCAGCTTTTTATTTCCAAGTTAGTTCTCATCATCAGTCACTAGACTTGCTTAGTACCTACCTCAGGCAACTATACCTCTATCTGTTCCAGTCAGAGAGCAGAGAACAAAAAAAAAAACACTTCAAAGAAAATCAGAATATAAAAACCTTCACTTCTTATCAACCATTTTTATTCTTTCATTCTTGCAGAGGATGTACCCTTCAGAGTTTCAAAGCCCTTCATGCCTACTCATGTTCTCAAGAAGATATGCTTTCCTCTATATCTAATTGATCAGTTTATATATAACCTCTCTGTCCTTCTCCCTCTGGGCCCACTTACAAGAAAATACCTCCTTTTACGTGGGCTCTTATAGAGAAAATAATCAACTTGCCAGCTGGATTCAATAGGTGACCAGCTGAGTCCTGATCCTCAGCTAATCAGGAGCAGCTATAGGAGGGCATCAAGAAGAAAGTAACCGGGAACTGAGAGAAACATCTAGTGGTATCCTTAAAGCTCATGAGCCTCTGTCAATACTCTATTTCATACTGCAAAAGCAAATGACAATGAAAACATAGAATATGCAACTTAAGGTGCTCAGATTTTTTTCAGATTTTTTTCAGCTAGAATAATATTTTTCATAATACTAGAGTTTCTTCATATTGTCCCCTGCCAGTGAAACTGAAGAGAAGTACTTTTAAAGCAGGGAAATTGTTGGCAAAATAGATCAGCTGTAAATAAATTTGAACATGCGACAGAAGTGGAGTTCTGCACTACTTCCATATTCAATGGAAAGGAAACCTTGTTTAAAACTATAAACAACAAAACATATGGCAACAGGCTCTCTTTTCAGGGTCTTTCGGGTTTCCTTCCTGAGTTTTGTTTTTATAATTCAGATGAGCGTTATTTATAATTCAATAGGCATGGTAAAAAAGATTGGCTTTGCCAGATAAGTTCAAGAAATTAAGCAATTGCTTGACATCTTAACACAGGAAACCAAGTGGATAAAGAACATAAACCACTCAGTGTCTGTGGGGAAGAACTATGTACAAATCTGAATTATTTACTGCTTATACTCACTGCTATTAGTTTACTCAGGCATGACTACACAGCTATACCAAGTCAAGACTATAATTCACAAAAGTATTTAAGCATACCCTTTAATTCAGGCATTCAAACATCCTTTAATCCAATAACATCTGTACCAGGGAACAAGAATTCTCCATGTGGTAAAAGCTTTAGTAAATATGAGGAGTTTACTTTAATACATGAATCTACAAATAAGTAAGTCTTCTTACTTACAGAGCATTTTTTTATTTTGGATAAGTTAATTCTGCCATTTTTAAAAAATATATTATGAATTTTGTCTACTATCTCTAAACATTCCATTGAGAATATAACAACATTGTGCTCATCACACATAAAGTTCAAGTCCATCCTCCCTCATGAAAGTTCTCACTGTGAGGACAGTTATTTAATCTTTTCCTAGAGCAATATGTCAATACAGAATTGAAGTCCCATGGGGGGGGGGAGTGACCATATTTCTTAAACAGAGAAACACAAATTCCAAATAAATACAGTCACACATCCGCTTTATAAAAAGAGTGAGGGAAGTAAAATGGAAAATAAAGATCAGTAACAAAATAAGAACATTGAATCAGGCATCTTACATCCCCTGCTACATAAACTTCTACACAATAACCTTTTTGATCCCTGATATGGCAACTGGCCAAGTCAAGAGGGCAAAAACTGTTTAAAGCAACTGTAGCATCTTTTATATAATTTCTGAATTTCTCTAATGCACAGCTGTATACAACTCATCATCTTGCGCTGTGGAGATCAATTTCATATTACTTGGATTAATAACAGATTAGCAATTCAAACTGCCAGCACATTCTGCTTTTTTTAGGAAGCGAATTTTCATTTGAGTCAAACAAAATAACCGTATTCCTTACTTTTCCTCACAAAAAGAAAGGTAAGGTGCAGTATATCTGCTAAGAAACTGATTAAATTATCTTGAACAGAGAGGCAACTTGATATATGCACAAAAAAAAAGATTTTTGTTTCCTGACAGTATACATCTCATCTTCACCTTGTATCAACAGTATCTACACTTGGTGAAGTTCTCACCCTATTCACAAATTTTGTATTTTGAACCCTTAGGAAGACATACAGGAGAATAATTTTTCAGTTTAAGGGGCAAATCAGGGATTAGTATAGACTAGTCTTTGGGGAAAAAAGGAGAAAAAGGAAGTTGCTATATCAAATCACTTTCTCCTTTCATACTAAGAAAGGAATTAGTTGTTTTGAGCAAATGCCTTCTGTGGTTTTGCACATTTATGTTAATTTCCAATAAAAATTATGAACACTTTAATAAATTAATGAAGGATCTTTCTTTGCCAGTTTTTTAAGGAGACAGGAAATTAAAACTGCACGTCTCACATTAATGTAATTGCCTTCATATCAGATGGAACTATCCAAATTGCAAAAAATATGTGTGTACATTTTTATATATATATATATGTATATATATATATATATAAAATGGCTTTTCAGATTGAAAATAAGGAACATTTTTCTGTGTGAGTAGTGAAACAATGGAATAGGAAATCCAGGGAACTGCGGAATCCACGCAAGCAAGAAATGATATCATGCCTCAGACAGGCATGGTCGTCTACTGAGGTTGATCCTAACCTTAAATTCCTATGATCACCATGAGAAATAGGAGGAGAACTGATGATAAGTTCCCTCAGAGTCCAGAAAACTTGCATCAGAAACTCAAATATATTTATCTCAAGTCTGTTCTACTTTCCCCAAACTTCTCAGAGTATCCCACTAGGTCGTACAAGTTCATTAGCCTAATTTATAGGAAAGGAATTTAACTGATTTTGCATCAATGGAAATGGGATCAAAATAACCTTTTTTAACTTTTTAAAATTATTTTATTGCTACTCTACCTTGTAACAGCTTGAAAAGCCACTGCAGTAAGATTTACAACACTTTTAATTATTTATTACATAACTGTCAAGATCTGAGGCAATGTAAAAGGCTTTTTCTCAGCATTACAGACACAGCTGTAACCAAATCAAATGTAAATCAAATTTATTTATTACAGTTTCAATATCAAACTACTACAGAATACAGCAATCAAACATTCACTTAGTTTTCTGGTAGAAAGTCCCTGCTATTTTACCTGCCTTCAGATGACGGTAGCGTATACAGATTTTCAGTTCAAGGACCATGTAGTCCTTGGTAAGTGGTATAGAGATGTCACTGGGAGCAAATATGAGGCTTTGGCCTCCAGATTCCTGCTACAATAACATGATGGTTGGCAGGAGAAATATGAAGTACCCATAGTGGGTAGGAAGTAGGTAAAGGAAGAGCATTTCCTGGAGAGCAAGGAGATGAGAGAGACAAATGGGAACCTCTGAAACATACTTATTTTACAGATGTTTGAGAAGCATTTCTGTAAAAAGAAATTAATATCAAAGTGGAAAAAAAATTACAGCTTTGTAACTGCCTTAGACAAAGTTTCTAGATTTCCAGAGATCTACTAGGCCAACTCTTCATGCTAATCTAGAGAGATCATAACTTCTGTGTAGGACTACAAGGAAAAAATGGCACAAGATTTTTTTTTTTAGGAGTCCATGAAGTGGGAGAACCTGATTACCAGTATTCTGTATACATCAAAGACATGTCAGTACTTCATATGCACTTCTTAAAAGCTGAAGCAAGACAAAATGCTACAAAATGACAGCAGTGAGGCAGGACAGCTCAAAAATGAGGAGCAGTAGCAGCAGTCAGCAGAAGAATGAATCAGTGGAGCAAGTGGAGCAAGCAACAGCAACATCTGGCAGTGTCAAAAGCCCCAAATCACAGCACAAAGCTCTGGTAACTTCAGCTGGGGCTTGCTGACTCCCAGGACTCCACAGTTCCCAAAAGTAAGGAAGGCTTTATTTTAGGAGTGGAGAACAATCTGCTGGCCTAGCCGTTGCCTTGGCAAAGAGGATTGTAAAATTATTGTTGTTATACTTCAGGAATTAGCTTTTATATGTTACCTGTTTATATTTAATAAAATATTGTTTACTGAGTCAATTAATTTGCAAGAATAAAAATCGATCACTGCTCTTGAGATTAATTCCTGCAGGTATCTAGGCATTTTACTAGATGTCACTTTAAATTTCAGCCTGGCCTTCGCTGTTGGCAGTGGTGTCCTAGCAGAAAAGCACATTATACAGCTAATCACTGGAACAATCCAACTCTGCATCTTACAACTTTCAAATAACCATCATGAAATGACAACGTGGTTTACCTTAAATATGTGCATTTTTTCAA